CCATTGACCTCGCATCCCTACAAAGCCGGGACGGAGCACGCCGGGTTCTCACCGGACCAGGCTCTCACATCACCAAGCGCGAAGCGCCGTGAGATATTCGGCGAGTCGCATGAAGGGTGCGCTGCATCCTGCTTAGGGTGTTTGGCACCGTGTGCTTACTTGCTTGCGTATGGATGACAGCTGCGTGTGACTTGATTTATTTTCTGGTGTTTTCACTTCCAGAGACAGTCATAAGCACTGTGCCCTGTGGGCCATGCTCTACGCTGACGACGCGGCCATCGTCTCGCGCTCGCCGGAGAGTCTCGACAAGATGATGTCGGTCATCGTGCGTGTGGCCGGCCTGTTCGGACTGATGGTATCGGAGCCAAAGACGGAGATCATGTGCATGATGCCCAAAGGGATTGAGGAACGCCCGTCCACGGTCAGCGCCGCCGGCCAGACTTACAAGCAGACAGATCGGTTTGTGTATCTCCGACGTACCATCTCCGCGGACGGGAAGGCCGACCGGGAGATCCCGAGCCGCAGCTGCCGAGCGTGGAAGTTCTACCGCCGGAACAGTGCTTCGATGTATGACAGGTGACGGGCCGACCGCCAGCTCAAGATCCGGCTACTCCAGGCTGAAGTGGTGGAGACTCTCCTGTATGGGTACGCCTCGTGGAGCCTAACAGCGGAGCACTACACGAAGCTCAATGGGACCCACCACTAGTTCCTTGCACGGTGCATCTGCTGGAGCAAGCGGAAACGCTCAGACCGCCCCCTGTCCTATGCCCAGGCCCTCATCCAGGCAGGCTGCGAGGGAACCATCGAGGCCACCGTGCGCAAACGGAGACTGTGTTTCGCGGGCTTTGTTATGCGCATGGAGGACAGCCGCCTCCCCAAGCGCATGCTGTTAGGAGCGATGGCGGGGGGCGTGGGATACCGGGGCGGGCAGGAGAGCGACTGGGTGTCTCGTCTAGGAGAGGACCTCGTGGCCTTCAACATGGGAGACGAAAATGAAGGGGGGAAATGGAAAGAGAGCGCCAAGGACCCGGAGGTGTGGTACAACAAGGTCGAGGACGGGGCGGCATGGCTCATGAGGAAATGGCACAGGCAGGAGGCGGAAGCGTCCGCGAAGCGCCAGCGCGCGAGGGAAGCAGAAGCAGAGAGTACGGCCATCTCAGGACCAAAGAGAAACAGAGTCGGGGAAGCGGCGGTGGGGGGAAAGAAGCGGCGACCGGGCACTGCTGTAAGAGCGAGTAGGGCGGCCGAGGCAGCACTTGTGGCGAACTATGTACCCGGCTGATGTTGTTGCGCCCTGTTTCCCTCCCTGCTGCATGCTTAACTCCTTTGTGTATGTCATTTGTATTTGCCTTCGGCCTCTGTGCTGTGTTTCTTTTTTTTCATGTCCTTCCTGCCTACTCTTGCTGTGTTGGGTACCTTGATCTCGCTTTTGCTGTTGCTTCTGTTTTTTGTACATCTGGCTGTCTGCCCATCTGCCGCCTCTTTGTCCTGTTTGCTCCGTTACTCCCATGCCCTGGTGCGTAGCGCCTGGTGCTTGTACGTTACCCTTTGATTTTTTCTTTAGGCGGATGTGGGAAGCGTCCTCCTTTATTTTTGTTGTTTTATCGGTTTCCGAGAGATCGTTCCTCGAACGGTCGGTGCGGTACCTGTTATTTTCTTATTATAATTTTGTTTTCTTTTTCCGAGTGGTTTGTACCCTATTTTTTTTTTGTTTCCCGCGGCTTCGTATGTGCCGGGTTTTGAGACCACGGGCTGCCCATTTTTTGTGGACTATCGAGCTAATGTGAGAAACAACAACAACACCAACAACAACTGTGTAACTGCAGGGGGGGAGGTCTCGATTCGAGAGCCGCTGCTTCGAAAGGGAGGGAGTATTGTACGGCGGGGGTTCAGTGTATGCCGTAGTCGTTAGACCATTGACCTCGAGGGGGGGGGGAAGGGGTTCCGTGTATACCGATCGGGAAAGGGGTTCACATCTGCCGACGGAAACGAAAACAGAATGACGCATCCCGCTGCTCTTTTAACAGTCGTTCGCGGAAGTCCCACGGGCCGCTACTGTTGGACCGAAAGGGATTTGCCTCTTCGCCGCCCCTGCACTCATGTCCCACTTACCGCCCCCGATTGTTCCGTGTAACAACGGGCTCGCGACCCCTCGAAACTTAAAAGTACGGTCGGTAGATCATCGCACTCAGGTTTGCCCCGGCGGCGATAAAAATAAAGTTGCGGGAAAATAAGCGCCGTACCACCAACACCACCCCCCCGCCCCCCATACAGGATGCAGCGCACCCTCCATGCGACTCGCCGAATGCCTCGTGGCGCTTCGTGATAGATCATGTGAGCGCCTGGTCCGGTGAGAACACGGCAAGCTCCGCCCCGGCTTTGCAGGGATTCGAGGTCAATGGTCTAACGACTACCGAATGCACGGCTATGAGTACACCCTCGTCCCCCACATCGCTCCGTCCCGGCAGCATGGTAGGGATTCGAGGTCAATGGTCTAACGACTACGGCAGCCGTTTATAAGAATAAACCCCACAGTGTTTTGAGCCACATTTAACAAAGTAGGATGAAGCGGATTGGCCAGCATCGGTGATCGGTTGTCCTGTGGGAAAACTGCTCCGTCACCTCTCGAGGACGCGGATTCAACGGTCTAACCGCGAAGGCATGCGAAAAACATGAGTAGCCCCCCCCCCCCCCCCCCCCCCCCACCCCCCCCCCCCCCCCCCCCCCCGTTCG